GTTGAAGTTGATGGAAAAGGCCAAAACTGAAGGTATGTGTGGTCGTTGGAGCACTGATCTGGCAATCAGCAGTTGGATTTTTGAAGGTGAGTCTTTGGAGTTTTGTTAGGCTTCCCAGATTATGATGAAAAATTGTCACACATGTAAATGTGAGATATCTCAATACTTAATTCTTGAACTTATCCTTTAGCGTTATCTAATATCGTTTAAATAAATAAAATCGCACTATCTGATTCGACTGGAAAAAATTATGGGTATGATTGATAGACATCTACAAAGGAAAAGAAAGGGTGTGACTGGTTGTAGAACAAAAGAAAAGAAAAGTTTTTTTTCGACACACAGCATGTAAACTAAAACATGAATAAAATTTTCCTCTCTCTATTCTTCTTGGTTGGAAGTTTTTTTTCCATAAAAATAAAATGGACTTTTTTAATGAATAGCCAAAAAAAAAAAATTTAAAAAGTTGGTAAAAGGGGTATGCGGCACAATCTTGGCCATTGGATTTAAGTTTTTTTAGTTAATTTTTAGATTATAATTTTTTGTTGTATTAATGGCAAATTATCCTAAATAAAATTTAGTTTGATGAAAAAAAATTTGTGATGGTCAGAAGAATTGAGGTGAAATTTTTTTCTTTTGAGTTGTGCAGCAGTCACAACCAAAATGGTAGAAATATAATTCTTCTTCAAATTGACCAATCAAAAAGAATAGAGAAAAAAGTTTCTTCTCAATTTCACTCCAAAGTCAAATCAAAAGACCAAATGAAAAGAAAAGATTATCTTATTTTTTCTATCTTCTCAATTTAACTTTTTAATGTTGAAAATTTCACAAATTTTTTTTTTCTCCTTCACATACCAGTCACACCTCATATATGACATCAATCCAAATGCACTAGGACCTATGCATACCGTAGAAAAAGAAACGTTCCGACATATCATACTAATGAGATATCAATTCACATCAAGTTGTATCCCATCATCAGCGCCAATATCTTATTCACTTTCCTTAGTATTATA